CGGGCGGGGCGTTCGACAGTCGACGCTGTGTTGCGCCTGAGGGCCGTGACCGAAGAGGCCGTGAGCTGTGGCGGCGTGCTGTTGGCGGTGTCATTGGACATCGCCAACGCATTCAATAGTCTGCCATTCAGCTGCATCAGGGAAGCACTCCACTATCATGGGGTGCCAAAGTACCTGAGGCGGCTGGTGGCAGACTATTTAGAGGAGCGTACCGTCGTGTACGAGGACCGAGAAGGTAATTTGAGGAGTCGGCCCATGTCGTGCGGTGTTCCACAGGGGTCTGTTCTTGGACCCCTCTTGTGGAACATAGGGTACGACTGGGCCCTTCGCGCCGATTTCCCCCCAGGGCTGGGTGTAATCTGTTACGCAGACGATACCCTCGTGACAGCCCGGGGGGCAAACTTCCAAGAGGCGGCGCGCCTGGCCACAGGGGGAGTCTCCCTGGTGGTCGGGCGCATTGAGGCGCTGGGCTTACGGGTGGCCCTAGATAAAACGGAGGCCCTGTTATTTCATGGGCCCCGTCGTGGTCCACCCCCTGGCGCCTCAATCGTGGTCAACTCGGTCCTCGTACCGGTTCGGGCCCAGATGAAATATCTGGGCCTGATCCTCGAAAGGAAGGGGGCTCTTCGACGAGCACTTCCGACAGCTTGCTCCAAAGCTGGTCGGCGCTGCGTCTGCCCTAGGGCGACTTTTGCCCAATATGTACACGGGGGTTGTCCGGTCAATGGCACTGTACGGTGCACCGGTGTGGGCGGCGGCTCTGACCGCCCAGAATAGGGTACGCCTCTGGCGCCCTCAGAGGGTAATGGCGGTCAGAGCCATACGCGGTTACCGCACCGTTTCGACGGAGGTGGCGTGCGCGTTGGCCGGAACTCCCCCGTGTGATTTGGAGGCGGAAGTGCTCGCCGAAGTTTATCGGCGAGTGGCTGACTCCCGGGCGGAGAGCGGATTTCGCCCTCCGCCCGAGGATGTGCGCGAGTGGCGCGAAGCCGCTCGCCGAGCCACGATGGCTCGTTGGTCGTTCCGGCTGGAGACTCCACGCGCTGGCTTCGCCGCCGTGGAGGCTCTCCAGCCGGTCATCGCCGAGTGGGCAGGGCGGCAGCACGGGACCCTTTCCTTCCGGCTGACGCAGGTGCTTTCCGGGCACGGTTGCTTCGGAAAGTACCTGCACACGGTCGCTAGGAGGGAACTGAGTCCCGCCTGCCACCACTGCGACTGCAGTGAGGACTCGGCCCAGCACACGCTGGCGGTCTGCCCCGCATGGGCGGCGCAGCGCCGGGCCCTCACTGCAGTCATCGGAGTGGATCTCTCGCTACCGGCCGTAGTACGCTCCATGGCCGGTAGCGACAGTTGTTTTACCGCGGTCGCAACCTTCTGCGAGGTAGTAATCTCGCGGAAGGAGGCGGCGGAGAGGGCCCGGGAGGACGACCTCCACTCGGACCCGATCCGCCGCCGGCGAACCGGGCGGCGGAGGCCCGCCTATCACAGCCTCATGCCGCCCTGAGTGTGGCCGCGGGTGGACGGGGTGGGTTTCCCCTCCACCCGCATTAGTTGGCCAGCCGCGAGGGGGCGGCGTCCGCGTGTGCCGGACGTCGCCTAAAGAGAGGAACATCCACATTGAGACGGAGCCCGCACCAGGAGCGGGCTGGCGCTAGGAGGGGTCCGGATGTCTTAACAACAGCTGTTCCCGGATCCCTCCTGTTACAGGCGCAGAGTGGCACACCGTGTGGTTTTAGTCGGTCCGAGTCCGACACACCACCCCGCCGCAAACCCCGGAGGGGTGACGGTCCGAGGGGATTTCCACACGTTAAAAAAAAAAAAAAAAAGGGTTCGTGTCAAGTTTTCCTTCTCTCTGCAGTGGTGTTGTCCTGCGTAGTTTGCTCCTTTAGTCGTCTCCCACGGGATGAATAGGGGTGGTGACTGTCTGTATTCTTAATCCGTCACCACACGGATAGTTATGTGTGTTAGTATTGATTGTTATGTGTGTATTGAAATAGAATTGTGGGGGGGAAAACAGTGCATACCCCCTTGAAACTTGTGCATTCAGATTTGATATAATACTGATTTACGGCTTGCGCCTCTCCCTCTCAAATCTTGGGAGGTACTAGGCCAATCTATGCACTACTCCTATAAGCATTCGTGGTCTACCCACACTGACTTCCTTATTTACAGGAGCTTTTATAGTCATTCAACCTCTCAACATATCTAAAGCAGTAGGTATTCCTGTCTGAATCCTAGTCACCCTACTCTATCTGTATTCTTACATTACACATACTTCTTACATTTTCTGTTGTGTCTTTTGCCATCTTAAACTTTCCGCAACTGCCCTACATCAAGAGTTAGTGTTAACACTTTCTAGTCAACTGATACTTTCTGGCTTTTCACAGAACAGTGTCTTAATGACCATGTCTTTATCGTGCATTTCATTCTTTAACCAAAATAATACTTGTATGATTAAAAAATATCAGACAACTTAATCTGCGGCAATACCTAGTACCTATTGTGTTGTATTAGATGAGAAAACGATAAGATTTAAAAGATTTTTCCGTTTTGCACATAAATGTAAGTTATTATCTCTTGCAGATCGGACTTTGTGTTAAGTTTAGTCATTCTTCCCATCTGAATCATAGAGAATGGAAACTATCCATTGGTAACAGATGATTTTTTAATTAAATACAATTAAAGCGATCTTTGTATCGAGTATAAAGAAAGTAAAAGTGATTGTCAAAAACTCTTTTATTGTCTATGATTCATAGTGATGTGTAAAGAAAGAAATAATTTGCCAATCGACTCTCGTTAATAGTTGTTTTTTGAGAGATTTATCAGTATTTATATTTTATATTCGCAAATAAGTTCGATGGGTAACATCTTTTTAACAAACTATGTTGCTACCAGATATACCTAATGATTTCCTCAGCTTCTCCCTTCTTCTTTACAATCAAAATAACTTTAATGGTACTGTATTACACAAAAAAAGGATGCATTATAAATATTTTTAATGTTGACTTTAGTTTCAGTTAGAACACTTCATGTGGCCAAACGGCTAGCTTTTAGTCACACGAAGACTATGTAAGTTACTTTTTTTTAAGCGGGGAATGCTTTTCGCACCATGGAGGGCCATTGAGAAAACGCAGGACGTGTGTGGGACTCCCGGAGCACCGGTCTACCCACTAAACCCCGCTGCGGCCTAACTCGGCAGTAGGGAGGAGATCTAGGAACGCATCGGTGGCTTCTGGAGTCCTCCCTGCCGTACCGTATGTCTGAGGCACATAGTAAGAGGCGCAGCAGAGCCCCGCCTTGGACGACACTCCCCCGACCGCACCGGAGTGTCATCTGTCTCGGGTCGTTTGCAGCGGTCACACGGCCCCAAGAATGCTACGGCTCATGATCCATCATTCTGACCGTCAGAGGGAACTTGGTCATAGACAATCGCGTCCATGTCGGCCAGGATGATTAAATTACATATTTAAAAAAAAAAAACTATTACCAATATATCCCTATCTTGAATATCGTATGATCTTTATCCCGTATGTCAAACAAGGTCAGGGACGCATACGAGTATCTTCTGTATATAACCAATTTCCTATTTTACGACAAGCTTTCCTGCATATGCAAAGTATTTTTGACATAACGGCCTGTTGGTCTAGTGGTTAGTGCCCCTGACTGCTAAGCCGGAGGTCCTGGGTTCGATTCCCACCCAGGACAAATATTGTGTGATGAGCATGATCATTTTTTCTGTGTCTGACTGTAATTTATCTATAATATGTATGTTTTTAAAAATATATAAGTATATTTATCAGCAGTCTGGTCACCATAGCACAGGCTCTGCCTAGTTTGGGATCAGACGGCCGTGTGTGAAATCTGTGAGGTATATTATTATTATTATTAATGTACAATTATTTCATCAAAGCTTCACACATATAAATATATCTATTAATAAACACTTCCAAAAACAATAATACGGATATATTAATATTCAATATTGACGCTCGTGAATAATGTAATATTTGTTACGTTAGAGCTATTTTATTAGCGGAAGAGGACAGAGGAAAGTGATGCGAGCCAGCTGCGGACAAATTGTAAAACTATAACCCGGCAATCTCGTGCGCGACCGTCCCGCGGGGTGACAGACAGTGGCGGGGGCGAGGTAGCGCGTCATTCTAGCACACGGCTACACACGATTCCCTTCCCCGCTACACCACCCGCTACCCGCTGACATCTTGAGTACCTCGTCCCCGCCACCGTCTGTCACCCCGCAGGACGGTCGCGCACGACGTTGATGGACTATAATGATCTGTTAATTTCAAATAGTTTCATGTTTAATAATTAGTTTACACTATATTCCAGATTTTTTTAAATGTAAAGTTTTTAAACGTAGGAGAGTTTTGTTTGGTACAAACGGACCGACTCGACAGAGGCGGTACCTTTTTTGGTGACGGGGTGGAAAATCCCTTCAGATCTCCCACTCCTTAGGGATACAGGAATATGCCGTATTTCCAGTGGATGACCAGCCTTAGATGCCCTACTCTAGGGAGGACCCGGGCCATGTGATGTCAGGTCCCCCACAGATCGACGCCACACCTATCTAGGCCCTCGCCCAGAGGACAAGAGCGGTACCTAAGCCTGACAGATAATCTGACTTAGCAATTGTTTCGTTGTCTTTCATAAAGGATGTAAGAATACCGTCGCTCAAACCTACTCTCCATCTGATTCTGTAGGGGGAACTCAAAGAAAAGAACTCAAGTTACAGGTGTCTTTGGGCGTCAGGTGTCTGAGGGTTTGCCTCCCATACCATACAAAATTATAAATGAAATTTTCAGATAATGTGTTACCTGGTTTCACGATCGAAGCTGCGGCCAAACGCCACTAGGAAAAAAAAACAGGCTATGACTTAGATTTGGACCTGTGACCATAAAACGTAGGTGAAACTTTGTCTAGTGTTAAATAACACACAAAAACAACAATCAACAATATTTATTTAAACTAAACAATGTAACAATTCAGGTAAAGTGTTCGGCAGCCGGTTGCTTGTGCGTAAAGAGCCAGCGAAGCATTCTCCATAACGCCTCGGTGTCATCACAGTGGATCTTGTAACAATGTTTTGCTTTACGTCTATGGGGAAATGACGAACTGAAAAATAAGGCATCTCTAATTGTATTGAGTTAATGTTTTATGCATTGCTGACATTGTAGGCTTCATTACTTGAATAAATACTCTTGAGATGAGTTATGCAGAGAGAGAAGGCAACATGATTAGCGACCTATTAATATGTAGGTTTCTAATCCTGTGTGTGTTGCTTCTTATCTCTTTACTCCTTTAAATTTGCAAAGTTCCCGGTTGAATATAAAGTCCTTGCTAGGGGTTATAACGTGAATCACTTTGAATATAAATAAATAATCAACTTGCGACTTTATAACCAACTTTTGTAATGTCAATTTCTTTCGTATCGTTTCATTACTAATGCCCTTTTAACCTTACAGTAACGATAGAAAGTATTTAAAGAAACACAGTTAAAGCCGTTTAATTACGATGATGCGTATTTTATGTCGGTCCGTGTAGTGACGGATTAAGAATACGGAATGTCACTACCCCAATTCATCCCGTGGGTGTCGTAAGAGCCGACTAAGGGCGCAATACGCAGGACACCAGCACTGCAGAGAGAAGGAAAACTTGACACAAACCCTATACCAACCCGTCTGGCCAGCGTGGTATAGTAGGCCAAAACCTCCTTTCTAAGGAGAGGCCTATGTCCAGCAGTGGACTTATTAAAGGCTGTTGATGTGATGATGTGATGTGATGTATTTTATGTGTTATAAGTACCGATGCCAAATGTTTTCAGTTCATTTATAAAATATTACTGCGATCCTTTGCACTGTACTTCATTACACACACTACATCTACGATACAGTGATTATATACTACACAGAGATACTTACGGTGTATAATGTATATCAGATTGTAGCTCACAGAGTAATCTTCGGCGACATCTTACGCTGATTGGCGCTAGATCAGTGACGGCGTCCGAGCGACGACGGTAGAGGCCTGGTCTTCCTGCATCACTTTAACAGACAGAGCTCACCGATGTATCGTTTTACCTTGCAATGCATCATGGTGGCAGATAATTATTTAGCCTTAACGCAAATGTTTCATGGAATGGTTGACTACACCATGGAATGATTCAGTCACGACAAATACACTAATTAAAAAATGATAAGTAAAGATTTATCCTTTTTGAAATGTACTTCTTGCTTTCTATAAACGTGTAATAACAAATTAAATGGTTTCGTTTCCGCAATTTAACGTTCGTTTTCGTTTTATTGATCGTTTCTGTTGCGTCTACTTCTGTTTCGGATGTCGCCACACGTGTATCACTGTCACCGTCTCTGCTCCGCCCCTATTAACCCTATCATGACGTTATACATCCTATAAACTTTTTAACCAAACAGCCTATGTAACTTAAGTAATATCTTCAACCAGCTGTTACCCGAGGCTTCGCTTGCTGATTATTTCCTTTTTCGTGTTTCTAATTGTGAAAATGGCGAATCATACAATCGTTAATCTATTATTTTACACCCTTAGGGGTGCCAAAAATCCTTTGTCAGTGGGTGCTTATAACATAAAAATCTACAGCTGTCATAATTTCACGTTTGTAACCTCAGTGTTTAAGGCTAATTTTATATGCATAGAATAAAGTTTAGTCATTTTAAAAATTTATCAAAAAAATAGTTACAATTTCATTGAAAACTATAATAAACATTTTAGTTTTTTCTCCTTGAAATTGACTAACCTTCAAAAAGCAAACTGTATTGTATTATTGTTGAAAATATTTAGTGTGAAGATTATAATGTAGTGATAAACATTAAATGTGTGAATACGCGGTTTAACAGTTTGTACGAGGACGAGGTCGAGTCTATTATTGCTTCCCCGTGTATGGTTATTTATGCGTAAAGTTGCGTTACTACATTATATTTGTAAGTTGAAGTTGGTAAGTCATAGAATCCCTGTGTTCAATCCCAGAAAGAAGGTAAATAGATATTACATATGTGTAGCTAATCTAATTATTGCTGATCTTGTTCAAAGTAATCGATCTGTTTCAAAGTTATTCCATATAGTTACTAAACTAAGGTTAAGAGATAACAAAAACATGGTATTACTTTATTATTGTACTCCATACACAATGTTAAGACGCAATCATAAAACTGTGTATTTAAAGTAACATGAATGTTTAGCATAGTCTTTTCTTTTTAAGTTTTTGGGGTCCAATTTTGCCAGTGAACACAAAGATTTAAGGCGAATAAAATGATGAAAAAGACATATCGAATCACTATTGTTTTCACAATCCCTCAATGCCAAAAAACTTATCCCAACACCCAGAAATGATTACTCATGAAAGAAACCGTGTATTACGAAGTCAGATTTCATGAAGTTTACACAAAAACATATTCTAGTGCGTAAGTCCTTTCAGTGACAGTTCAATTGGCTAATATAATATCAGCTTCCTAGTTCAGACGCCTACATCCACAGTTACCTAGTATCCGAGTGTTACGCAACTTGCGGATATAATGAACGCATGCGCCTTCCGCGAACTGGCCGCCATCACGCACGTATCAGCTGCGTGTGTGTGCACTTGGAGAAACTGTATCAAGCCTAAACTGTGACTGAATACAGTTCTGTATTAGGTATTTCATGGATTTAGTGTAAATGAATGAATTTCGGGAATTTGGCACTCAGTTTGCAAAATACGGTAGCTACGTTGAGCTTTCGGGACTGTATTTATTTTATAGCTTAGGTTTGTTTCATGTAAAAAATAATATTCTATTCAATAACAACTTAGTAGCACGAAAAAACAAAAAAAAAACAGTTATTCTGTGTTATTTACTAACAAACCGATTATTTTGACAGTTGTTTATATACAACTGTCAAAATTATGCTACCAAGTGACAGATGTCAACTTATTCATAGATTAGTGACGAATTAGATCTGTTTGGTGCTTGCTGTCAATTTTAACACATTGACATTGACACATTAGTTATTTAGTAATAACATGACGTATTTGTCAGTTGATGTAATTTATTTAAGCGTGCAAAATAACATATTTATAACCACTTAAATCTTTTTATTTCAAACAAAAGGTGTTATATATGTTGTTTGTGATCAATTTCAAAACTCACAGCTTAGTGTTACCATTTTTAATTATTGATTTCCTTTAATATTTTAGAATGCTTCTAGTACACAGGAAAACTTGTTGTTCCGTCCTCAATTTCGAAAACAATCTATGGCAATATTTATACTAAACAACTTTTGCAGCTTCTGTTTCTTTCTTTTTAAGCAAGAATAGCCTATATTTCTTCCAACTTCCAGCTGTTATATCATATTTAGCAAGAGCACAGTGAAAAAAGCCGGATAAATTTGCCGGCGATGCGTCGGCTGGACGATATACAGAAAAAAACTTTTTTTTTAATTACTTTCAATATTAAGAAAGTGCTACATATATGCGGTGCTCAATTTTAAGACGCTTTACAAATCTATAGCTTTCTACTGTTCTTGGAAATTACGCTATAAATTTCCAAGTAATTCTATATATTTCCTATTAGGTTTCTCCATTTTGTAATAGTTAACAGAGTTGAGCATTTTGTACATACAGTCATTTTGAACCCTAAAATCATACTAACCCTTGATTTTCATGTGCGTCTGGCAACCCTGCTCACCAGTAGATAGACTATTATAATAGATACTATTGGTAAGTACTTATGTTGTCATACTTTTTGCAATAATTAGTGAGTGCGTGACATAGCGTGGCAACACTTGTGATAATATACTATCGTATTATTTCGTAATATAATAACGTATGTAATTACGTACATTTATCTTATTATGTCATGTTTTAAACATATTCGTGTGTAAGAGTATTAAAAAACAAAAATTATATAGTAGGTATTATTTGAAAAAAATATTTTTTTCTGTTCTATTCATTACGTCCAAAGTTTAGTTTATTATATGTTTTTTTTTAACTGACTTCAAAAGGAGGAGGTTATGAATTCGGATGTTTTTATATTTTTTTATGTATATTCGGGTATAACTCCGTCATACTATGTATAATAAGTATGTATTTACAAAAAAAAAGTATATACTCGTATGTATTTAAATCAGTTGTCTAGTACCCATGGTACAAGCTCTGCTTAGTTTGGGACTAGATGGCGTTGTGTGAATGTGGTACAATATTATTATTATTATATATTTTCAAAATTCTTTTTTTATTCGAAATTAGAATCGAAATCGAAATTAGTTTATTTCGAAATGGTCCTATTTAATATAGATCTGATGATGAGTTTCGGAGACAGACAACGGAACTCTTCAAAAACTGAGAGCAAATCAACCGCGATTGCTGCTTGGTTTTTAGTGGTCTTTGCTAGTATCGTTAGAAGACGGTTCAACTTGTTTTTTTAAAGGCATCATTCTTGTTACAAAACCTATGTACTTATATATTTTAGGATTTACCACCGGGTTTTAGGATTCTTACAACACCTTTAAAAGAGATTTTATTAACGCGTGTTTTTTTAGATCCTCAGATGTATTAGATGAGTACCTTCACAATTGGACCTGGTGGGTGGTGCTGCATGCAACTGGGTTCTAGAAATTATATTTTTATTTCTTGACCAATGCTTTGCTATTTTTTTTTGGATTTAAGTTTAGTTTTTTGTTGTTGTAGGTTGATAGTTAGTTATAAAATTTCGTGCCATGTATATCCTATGTTCGAGCTGGAAAATGTTGCTGGCTCACTACCGACAGCTTAAATCTATTATGGATCTGACCAATGGATCTTCTGAATAAAAAAGTCAGTAGATTCACTTCTTGAAATCAGGATCTAATGTCAAATAAAATCGTCATTAGATTTATCATGGATCTGGCCAATGGATCTTGTTTTTTATGGAATAGGCAACGCAGCAGACGGATCATCACCTGATGGAAAGCGACTACCGCCGCCCATGAACACCTGCAACTCACGAGTCACAAGTGCGTTGCCAGCCTTTGAGGAAGGAGTACGCTCTTTTCTTAATGGTTTGAAGGTCGTATCGGTCTGGAAATACCGCAGCCGATAACTATAGTGTAACTATACAGTCTATAGTAGTAAGTTTTAATATAAATGTCAGCATCAGCATGTTACGGTATTTATCTTCTTTTGATTTATATTGGATTTAACCTTCATTCTAAGGGCCCTATAAAAGATCGCCTTAGCGATAAGGCCGCCATTTCAATTAATTAACTTCTTGCATTTATTTTAAGTAATATGTTATTCGTTTTAATGTTGTTTATTAGATATTTTGCAGATAAAATTCAAGCGTTTAATACACGATTATATTTGAAATTTGGTTCTTTACTCGACCAGATACCTGGTGGTGGAACTTTATTTTGAACTTTTCACTTTTTGGGCTATTCATAATTCATAGTCCGTGTGGTGACGGATTAAGAATACGGAGTGTCACCACCCCTATTCATCCCGTGGGTGTCGTAAGAGCCGACTAAGGGAGCAAACTACGCAGGACAACAGCTCAGCAAAGAGAAGGAAATCTTAACATAAAACTCTATACCAACCCGTCTGACTAGCCTGGTGGCAAAACCTCCTTTATAAGGAGAGGCCTATGTCTAGCAGTGATTAAACTATTAATGGCTGTTGATGATGATTGATGATTATTCATAGATCTAAAAACTTATTTAGAAATTCGCATGAGGGTGCGGGTAGACATTTGTCATTAAAACAATTTGATTCTAACTACAGTATGTTAAAAAGCGTGTAGATTGCGTGCTTATATTGCGTGCATTGTGTTATATCCGCGCATTCAAATTGTTATAAGTTTATATGTAACCGATGTATATACGGATATTCGTTAAAAGCCTACTCATATTTAACTTTCTGAAATAAATATGATATTCAGTTAACTAGTTATGATAACACATTCAAGGTACGTAGTACCACCACTATTGATCCAGTGGGTATCGTAAGAGCCTATTAAGGGGCCCAACTACTCAGGACAATAGTACTGCTAAGAGAACTTGAAACAAACCCTTATTAAATGGCGGAGTTCTTAGGCTTTTTTTATGATATAGGAAGTAAGCGAGCAGACGGGTGACCTAATGGAAAGTGACCACCGCACACATGGAAGCATGTAACTCAGGAGTCACAAGCGCGTTGCCGGCCTTTGAGGAAGGTGTACGCTCTTTTCTTGAAGGTTTGAAGGTCGTATCGCGAGGGCGACTATTTTTTCTACAGATAAGTTGTGCTAGGCAAAACCTAACTATTAAAAAAAAACTAGAGCTAAATTGAGAACCTGTTTTTTTTAAGTCGGTTATAAATAAAATACTACAATTATCAAAGAAACTATTTAAATGTGTAACTGGTATTACTCCGGTCGAGTCATTCCATTTGTGCCGCAGCATGGCTCTGCCACGTTAACAATTTGATAAAAATGAGCAAAAACAACCTTTTAGTATAGACAGTGATTGTTATAGAATTAGAAACATGTATACATAAAAAATAACCTTAGCATATAAAACCCGTCCTTGAGTATACAACCCGTGCGCAAGCGCATCACACACTAATCTCACAGACAAGGAAGTGAATACCGGTTTTCTCGGGGTCACAACGCGCCCCTTACACAAATACTTTCGTTTTCTGCATAACATGCATATATGGGCTTTTGATTCATTCAAATAATTAGGCAGTTTTGGCATGAAAGTTGTCCGGTTGGTTTATGCTCGATAACGCACGCAAATTGTTAAAGAATACGTGTTGCTAATTAGACTCAAGAATTTTGTTTCTATCTTGTTGTGTTAATCCGTTTGGCAAAATAATTCTTGAATATTATGCGTGTAAAACAATACTAATAAAAACTTAATACGTGTCATAACGGCTGTCTTATCTAAAACTACTCAGAACCTGTTTAATGGCTACCGATAAACATATTTATATATTTCTAAATACGTCGATCTATTGATATAAAATTACTAACTGACTGACTGATCAACGCAGAGTCTAAGCCACTGGGGATACAAACTGCAAATTTTGGCAGGTTATGGTTATTATGTTGTAAGCACCCACTAAGAAAAGATTTTTGAAATTTTCAACCATCATCATCAACAGCCATTAATCGTCCACTGCTGAACGTAGGCCTCTCCTTTGTAGGATATTTTGGTCTACTATACTATGGACAGACGGGTTGGTATAGGGTTTGTGTCAAGTTTTCCTTCTACTCGTCATTTCACACGTAAATGAGTAAAATGAAGCATGAATGGTTGTATGGAAGTAGAAACACGAAACAAGGAATAATTTCGAAAACGAAACCACAGGCAATAGTTAGTATTATATGGATAAATGACTGCGTAGCGTATGCGACTGCTCTGTTGTGGTCTCGGGTTCGATTCCCGGGTCGGACCAAATGTTTGTATGATCTGCAAACATTTGAGTTGGAGTTTGGGTGTTTTCTATGTAGAATATGTATGTCTTTACAAAAATTAAGTATATAAGTATTCTATCAGTTAATTTAGCTTTTATAGTACAAGCTCTGCTTAGTTTGAAACTAGATAGCGTTGTGTGTGAGGTGTCCGAAATATTATTACTATAAACAACACCCAAATACAGACAAATTTGACTGCACGGATGGCGTAGTGGTTTAAGAGGTCGCCACGCAGCTCATTACTACGCTGAGTGCTGTGGGTCCGATCCCCACATGGGACGACACTTTGTGTGACCCACAAATTGTTGTTCTGAGTCTGGGTGTTCTTTGTGTCCGTTTCGTGTATGTTTGTAAAGTCCCCCGCGACACAGGATTTATTCCTAGTGAGGGAGTTGTCTTTTTTAAAAACGAAAAACGAAAACGAAAACGAATTAGGTTCAGATAGTGAGGATTACTTACTGCTAGGCCAATAGTTATACTCGTACTTAACGTTGCAAAAAGCTAATGAAAGTATCTTAAGTCAGTGACTTAGTGAACTTAGTAAAAAATTGCGTTCAAAACGTAAATATTTTCTAGATATGATGTAAAGTCTAACGTGTGTTAAGTACGTATTAGGGACGGAATGTTATCACAATCACATGTTATAAATCATGTGATCACATCTGTGACTGATTTAAAAAAGCAATGCTACTTAATTATTATTATTACGCTAGTTCTCGCGAAAGGTCTTAATTTAAAAAAAAGGTCGTTATCTTTGATAAAAAGAATTTTGATTAACTTTAATGCCATTTATCTTTGTCTATGACCAAATCACAATCACATGATCAATCACTGTGGCTATAACCAATCGTATCATCAAATGAATATGATTTGAAGTTGTAATAATTTCCATGTCTGATACCTATAGGTACTTACCGATTATCATCGACATTATGGATGGTGATAACTGAAGGAGTGAGTGCTGAGATGATGAGCCCCACCGGTATGAACGCAGTCACCAGCCGCAAGATATCTTGCCACGGGTTGCCGCTAAAAGAGAATGTAAAATTCTATTATTGCTAACTCTTTCCAAACCATCTTTTAAACAATATTCCTTTCATTTTTATCTCAAGTGCCAGGTCTTTCACATCAACAGCCTGTAATAGACCCCTGCTGGACATTGGCCTCTCCTTAGAAAGAAGGTTTTGGTCTACTATACCACGCTGGCCAGACGGGTTGATATAGGGTTTGTTTCAAGTTTTCCTTCTCTTTGCAATGGCGTGTGCACGGGATGAATAGGGGTGGCGACAGGTCGTGTTCTTAATCCGTCGCCATACGGACACAATAACCTTGCCTTCTATTGCAATGGACTTAATAATTATTTTTATGGTATAGAAAGACCGCTACTACCATCCCCCATTGACATTTGTAGCCCAAAAGTTACTAGTACGTTGTCGCCCTTTGAATACTAATCGGGGAAAGAAGAGTTTGGGCTCTGGTTAACTCACTCACAGTCTGTTTAAAAGTAACGAAATAATTATTAGCAGCGGTTTTCTGTAAGGCCGTGTTACACTCCGGTCGAGCCGGCCTAATTGTGCCGAGGCATGGCTTTCCCATGTAAATTATAGTTGCCAAAGATCATATTTTTAGTCTACAACAATATTATTTATGAGATGATATGTAAGGACAACACACGTAGGTGTTAGGTTTTATTTAATAGCAACAGTCTCTTTATGAAAGTTCTGTAGAAAAGCATTTCTTCAAACAGTTGTTACGTGACGAAAATTAACAGCTCTGTGGGACTGGTTTCTCGTACATTTGTACTTCCTCCTTGTAAGTCGTAAATTATTTTATGACTGGCATATTTTGTTGGAAAATACCGCTGCGACTGTATGCCTCAAATTGTCGTAATTTAGGTATAACTAGTGCTTGGTAATAGATAGTTGTTTTCAGAGTTGTTTAATGCTGATAAAGTTCAGAGAGAGATCTCACTTTAAAAATAAATAAAGTCTTAGGACTAAAGGACTAACAAATCAACCATTAGTTCAAAATCCAGTGAAGTAATTTAAACTTAACTGACTTTACTGACATACATGAGATTGACACAAAGAACACCCAGACTCAGAACAACACTAAGCGCAGTAAGAAGCGGTGAGGTAATTTTTTAAACCCGAGCAGTTTATTTGCTCAGCACCATTCCTTTAAATCTCAACCATTGATCGACTTACAATATTCGCTATTTGATAGTCGATTGCAAATTAATTTATAAAGTTTAAAATTATTAATATTTCAATATAATCAATATCTTATATAAAATTCTCGTGTCACAATGTTAGTTACTATACTCCTCCGAAAGGGCTGGACCGATTTTAATGAGATTTTGTGTGCACATCGGGTAGGTCTGAGAATCGGCCAACATCTATTTTTCATACCCCTAAAAGACAAGGGTGACCCAACCCTCATTTTTTTTTAATATTTCCTAGAGATAATGTATATGGCAAAACAACGTTTGCCGAGTCAGCTAGTCATATAAATATATATAAATATATATATATATATATATATATATATATATTATATTAGTAACAAATTAAAATTGAAATGAGTGTTTATTATTAATGATTATTACAACGTCCGGTGAGTGAAAGGATATTATTCCGGTCAGAAGAGGGCCGCGCTACTGTTCTGAGTGTAATTGCGCAGCTTTCAACTTTCCTATATTGTTTTTAAATTATATTTGCTGTAATATCAATGCGTGGGCGCATCCGGCGTGAGCACGAGGCACCAAGCTTGTCGATTGATTACAAACATACTCTAATGGTAAGAAGTTATTTTTATATACATCATTATCATCATTATTAATAGCCTTCAGTAGTCCACTGCTGGACATAGGCCTCTCCTTAGAGATTTTGGCCTACTATTCCACGCTGGCTAGACGACGGATTGTAAAGGGTTTGTGTAAAGATTTCATTCTCTTTGGATTGGTATTGTCCTGCATAGTTTGCTCCCTTAGTCGCCTCTTATGACACCCACTCGATGAGTAGGGGTGGTGACACTACGTATTCTTAATCCGTCGGACGGACAATTTTGTTTATATCATAATATTTAAGGCTATATCTATTTTGCACAATATGCCTTTTAACTGGTTAAAAAATAATCAATTAAGTAATTCTGTGAACATAGCTTGAGCCAGTTGCTGATGAGCCGTTGTAATTAATCTAATTTAGCTGACGTTGTTAATGAAATCATAAGGTTGGAACTACTAGACCCTCTAGGGCCTAGTAGTTCTGTGGCGACTCCCACACACAAAGAAACAGAAACGTACTACAGCGCCATCTAATGAAAACACACCGAACTACGGAGTAACTACTAAAATAAGAATTGCTAATCCTGTATCACGATATAAAGAATTCCCTCGCCGATTAGCATATATACAACTTCCCAACATCAACCGTAGGGGTCACGGCCCGCCAGGCATGATCATCTCGCCTGGTCAGAGGATCCTCCCTTTGTGTTGGAGGGAAATGACACCCGTTCCTCCACAGTAGGATTTACCCCCAAGTGGCTCTCACCACTGAGCTAACGAGCCTTATGATTGTGTCTACCCACATTAAAAATAGTTTGACTGCACGGATGGCGTAGTGGTTTAAGCGGTCGCCACGCCGCTTCCTACTACGCCGAGTGTTGTGGGTTCAAACCCCACATGGGACGACACTTTGTGTGATCCACAAATGGTTGTTCTGAGTCTGGGTGTTCCTTGTGTCTGTTTCATGTATGTTTGAAAAGTCCCCCGCGACACAGGATAAATTCCTAATGCGGGAGCTGTCTTTTTTATAAAATATTGAAAAAAAATTCGAAAAAAAAAGTTCGTACAAAACATTCTAGAACACGGATGAACATAACTGAATGCATAGAATAACATATTTTTATGTAATTTGGGTGGCCTGTTGATCTGATCGATCTAAGCTAGAGATCGTTTGTTCGATTCACGTCCAAAATAAATTCAATTATGTAATGATCACGATAATTTATTCTGTGTTTAGGTATTTTTAATTCAAATTATGTACGTATCTGTTGCCTACTGGTAGCGTTCTTAGAAGGTTGGCCTCGTTATGAAAGCTTTGAATATAATCAATACTAACAGATCTTAAATTTATTATTAATTTAAATGTCTTACCGCTTTTTAATACCATGTGTTTTAACTTCTTCATTGATATCTAACTCAAAGCCTTCACTGTCATTCGGTTTCTCTTTCACGGTAATAGGGGACTGGTAAAGTCCTCCAGCAGGCAGCTTTGTTGGAACTTCCACCGTTGGCTTTGAGTCCATCGGTTCTTGCCAGCTCGGCCTAGCTTTGACGGTGGAATCTTCATAGTTGTATGGGAAGGGTTTGTATTGTTCATAGAATTCCTGAGGTATTTTATTCTTTGAGGAATAATCATCTAAGATTGAACTGTGGAAGATTGTGATTAGATTATGTAGTTAAGTTTAGTCGAATTTAAGTCTGAAAGAATAGTCTATTTCAGGTAGCAAATGAATGGTTCGAGGATACACTTTGTTACAATTTATCATGATTTGTAGGTATTGAAATCTATGATGCTTTTTAAGAGTTAATAAGTACTCTTGAGAAAGACCTATGAACTACCATTTACGTATAAAATAATAATGTCAGCCCCATGAGCATTGTGGTGGCTAATAATAAAAAAATAATATTATTTAATTTTGCGTCATCAGTGGTATTTTTTTATAAATATTATATTATTTATTTTAACCATCGAATATTCAAAACGATTTTAATATTTACAGTTAATTGTTTCTGAAGATTTATTTGTTGCGAATGAAAGTATGACATTTGTCTGTGTTTGTCTGTGGCGCTGAAGCCACCAAATAAATATACAGATTTTTCGTTTTTTGATATCTATAATTTGTGAAGTTTGAAATCATTAGCTTATTTTATACTTATTTGAATGATGACGGATAAATCTTTTAAAAAAAAGTTGAACCGTCGTCAAATAATACTAAAAAAGAGTACTAAAAACCTAGCACCAATCGCGGTTGATTTGCTGTCATTTTTTGAAGAGTTCCGTTGTCTGTCTCCGAAACTCATCATCAGATCTATATGAAATTTGAATGGGATCATTTCAGAATAAACCCCTTTTAAACAAAAAAGAATTTTGCAAATCCGTCTGTATATGACGGAGTTATGCCCGAACATATATAAAAAATAATATGAATATCTAATTTGATTACTTCCTCCTTTTTGAAGTCGGTAAAAATTTATTCTGACCTTAGACAATCGTTAGAGTTGCCACAAAAACTTTTGGTGGGATAGGGGCATAATCGTCTGTCAGATCTTACAGTGCCAACCTATGAGGGTTTACTATAAACCTAACTCTGCTACATTATGTATATAATGGACTAAACAGGCAAATACCTTACCTTACAAATCCAGATTCAGGTATTTTAACAACAGGACCAGGAATCGGATTCTTAATTACCTCAGCGGTATCATCATCAAAGAAACTTCCTAAATGTTGACTTGGTTTAAAATCGTTCATTTCTTCTTTTTCCTCCGGCTTTTCCACCTCTTCTATGCTAACGTTATTATTCTTTCCTTCTACCTCTGTCAGGTTGGAAGCTGCGAAAGTTGTTTCCAGTTTCCAGCTCTGAGGGTTTGGTTTTTTCGTGGACTGGTTTCCTTTGTCATGCCTGATGATTGTTTTGTTCGTGGGGTATAAGGTGGTGACATTGGGATTCGAGCTGGTGCTTTCCATGTCATAGGAGTAAGCTTTTGTGATGAGCAACAGGATACATAGAGTTAACTGTAAATGGAAAATTGTTGTGATGACAGTTTGTACTATTACAGTTAATACAAAATAGTGACAATTAAAAATCGTGAAATTGATGTAGACATCTTCTCAAACAGTCTTCCAAAATTTAAGAGCAAAGTTATTGCGTCATTTGGGCCTTCTTAGATCATCACTGTCTTTAATTAATTTCGATGATGTTCTGTATGTTTTGTATATTATTATAGATATTGCATTGTAATCTTAGATGTAACTGTCCCTTACCATGCCGTGGCAACTTGTAAGTAAGACAACACTCAGAAAATATTTGTAAAACATGTTTGTAAATTATGTATTAGTGTATGTTTTGTAAGTTGTCCTAAATAAATAAATACGTTCGTGTTTTTCTATAAGTCAATGGTCTGATTATTAAATCAGTTTCAAGTTTCCATGGGAACTTTTATAGTTTCACATTGTCCGTCGGCCTGTCAATTCGACCCACCGCGGTTTACCTTTCAGACTATCAGTACTAAAATACTGTAATATTACTAATATGTGAAGTCTAATATTATTAATATGTGGAAGTCGCTACACATACAATATACCTTATGTTTATCCTTTCAAATACCACACAAGTGCTTACCGCACAGTACCAACTTGACCTGGGCCTCAATTCTGCTATTTTATGTTCACGCCAAGTCAGTGTCATACCACTGACACGCTATTGAGATGCCATTGAGTGGCCATTGGCATCGGTATAAATATCGGTAGTTGAAAATATATTACGTTTTTTGAGGAAATTATTTACTTATTTTTATTATAATAAATTATTAAAAGAAATAAATAAAACAAAATAAATTATTAAAAAATAAAATTATTAAAAAAGAAATAAATAAATTATTAAAGAATAAAATATAAAAATTATAAAAAAAGAACTAAATAAATTATTAAAATAAAAATATAAAAAAAAAACATTTCCTCAAAAAACGTAATATGTTTTCAAATTATAAGGAAATGACTTATTTATTTAAAATTAATTTTAAATTATTTTTTTTATTTTAATAAATTATTTATCTTTTTTATAATTTTATTTTTTTAACAAGTTATTTTAATTTTTTTATTTCTTTTAACAATTTATTATAATAAAAACAAATAAATCATTTCCTCAAAAAACGTAATATATTTTCAACTACCGATATTTATACCGATGCCAATGGCCACTCGATGGCATCTCAATAGCGTGTCAGTGGTATGACACTGGCTTGGCGTAATAGCAGAATTGAGGCCCTGGGCATGTACAGTGCTCAGAACAGAGACGGACTACCGGTTCTGGTGGAAAGCGTCAGCGTTGAGACTCGCGCCAAAACTTACCACATAATTAAAGGTACCTTTCTGTTTACTGTTTTTAGGACTGTTTTGGATATTAACTAAAGTTACCAAAGTATAATTACTGTAGCTTTTACCCGCGTCTCCACTCCTCTCCAATAGCATATTTATTTCCTTAAGAATCAAAGTATCTCCACGGAAAACCCCCACTTTAACTAGTAAATCCAAATTCAATTATCGACAGCCTATCTTATTCCCTATGAGCGAATAATCCGGCATTACGGAGCCCCCTCATAACTTCGAGTGGAGCTTGATTGAAATGCAGTATGTCGCTGTTCCTCTTTTACTAGTTCGTCAAAATAGAAGACAAGAATTAGGGACATAGTCTTGATTATAATACAGTGCAAAAATCTTATTAAACTAGACATAGGTATTATAAATGCGAAAGTAACTCCGTCTGTCTGTTACCCTTTTACGCCTAAAACACTGTACCGATTTTAATGAAATTTGACATGGAAATATTTTGATTCTTGAGGAAGGACATAGGCTACTTTTCACCGCGATAACCGTGATTTAAGCAGGTGGAGCCGCAGGCAATAGCTAGTTTTATATATTTCTAAAGCAGATAAATCATAATAGCAATAGAATCAAACTATATCCATACCAAATTTCATCTTAATCGCTTCAGCGGTTCTTGATTCCCTATACAAACTTCCACCCCCCTTTCTCCCCCTTTAAGGATGATTTCTGGGATAAAACCTACCCTATGTCTACGGACTATCTATATACCAAATTTAATTCGAATCGGTTCAGCGGTTTAAGCGTGAAGAGGTTACAGACAGAAATACAGACAGACAGACACACTTTCGCATTTATTATATTAGTATGGATGATATGATGTGTCAGTGAATGATCTTTTTACTAAGTAGTTGTCTAGAGATCAGATTACTACAGATGTCTTTCCTTAAGACCCACGTCTCACCCATACAACAGTGTGGACTAAACGTAGCATTTCATGACGCGGTGCCTCAAAGGAAATGGGATTTTTGGGTCGCATAAAACCTTGGACATTTTGAAGAAAGCAGTCTTAGCTTGTCCTATTCGACATTTCACCTCTTCCAAATGGTCTAAGTCTAAGATATTTAAACCCACCAACGCCTGCCACATTTACCCCCCGAACTCAAACTCAAACAATTTTGGAAATTTTATGAAATAAAGATATTTCATAAAATTTCCAAAATTGTTTGAAATCGTCTTCCATGTAGACTCTAAAGTCATAGATCAACACACACAAAAGCAACAATCTCTGTTTTGTCAAATAGTAACCAAATAAATTTAACAAAAATCAAACCCATACAAAATCTATGATATGCCTGTGCCGATCTACAACCGCCCGTTTCCAAGGGGTTGAGCCTTACTAGAAGAAAGGGCAAAGGGAAGGAAAGGAAGCTTTATATTTGGAGTGGGCATCGTTGTCTTCGCTAAAACCATGGTCTTCGTTTTATCAACATTAATTGACAACCCCATAGCTTCTGCCGCAGTTGCTACTTCATCTAATAGAGTTTGCAGTCCGGCTTCGGAACTCTACAAACACCTAAAAGTTACCAAACTACATGTCTTGTCAAATTCACAAGACGAAATGGTTATATCCCTTCCAAAAGACAAAAATTCATCAGAGCTACAGCTTATGCCGTTGCGTTGTATGCCGTGGAAGTGGGTGCGAGGGGTACACCAGCTTAATCCCTCTATAACCTACTTAAAGACCTTGGGTTGCCAAGAGCTTCGGTAAGCTCTTTTCTTTAACGAATATACAAAGCGGCATTGCTAGGCTCGTATCAAATATTTTTAGGTAGACGGGGTAACATACAGCTTACAGTGGAGGTGAGCGCTGACGCGTCGCAAGGAGTACTCCTTAAACCTATACCTGGGTCGCAAGTCCCAGGCGCTGTCGAAGTCGCATGTGTTGCCCCATCTATCACACGATGGACCCGGCACCAAAACGGTGAATCCATGGAACGCTAAGAAATAGGTCTTTTAATTTTTTTTGGCTCACATCTGTGTGTGTGTTCTTTTTGGTGTCTCTAGACACCAAAAAGAAAGTACCGACTGCGTGAAAATTGTATAAATATGTATTTACTCTTGTAAAACATTTATGAAACCCTTTATTATGATAGCTCACTCTATATATATTGAGAAAAAATCTAGAGCCATTAAATGGCAACAAGAACCAGCGATTTAAATTTTTGAAGTGTTGAAGTTAATTTTGTCATAAATATTTGACAAAACACTAAACCACGTAAAACAAAAGTCATAACTAAAACAAAATCGTTTTTTTTTTAAAGACAACTCCCGCATTAGGAATATATTCTGTGTCGCGGGGGACTTTACAAACATACATGAGACGGACACAATAAACATCCAGACTCAGAACAACAATTTGTGGATCATACAAAGTGCGTCCCATGTGGGGTTTGAGCCCACAACACTAGTAGGAAGCGTCGTGGTGACTGCTTAAACCACTATGCCATCCGTGCAGTTTATTAATTCTACGATAATTCTAATTCTACGATAAGCGTTTTCGAACATTTTAGAACCTTAAATGTGTTGATTGTATTGTTTTTGTTCCATAATATACGGCACGAATTGTCTAGCTAACTTCAAAATATTTATTAGGCGAATGAACTACGGGAAAGTCAAATGTCAATAAAAAACATTGTTTCTTACATTTTTCCACATAATTTGCTGAGAGATTGCTAAGATTGCAGGACCGTGGGAATGCTTGTTACTAATCTAAGTACAGTGCAATCACCAGGATCGGTTGTGTAACAGTAAGTGGGTTTTTTGTCATTCAAGTGACTGATTTACATCAAGTTACATGAACGAAATGAAAGAGTTATCGTCATACCGTGTGAGGGAAAAACATCAGTTTATTATATGGTGTAATTGTACCCGTTACACTATTGTGACATTATTCGACAAGAGTAGACCGAACGGTGTATGGCAACGCCCTGTGCAGTTTTTTTAACTTGTACAGGCGACCGGAGTAAATTCAAAAAACATTATTCATTCGTCATGCATCATGTATACCTGAAGATTTCTCCGGTAAACTGGATTGTTCCACACACATTACGACATACGGTCTGCCTGGATAGGCAAAGCTGCACAGGTAGACCTATCCGGTGAACCGTAGCGTATGAATTTTAGTCTCTCGGCGGCCATATCTATTTCATCCATCCAAATGTTACTACCAATTTAATCATTAAATACCTTTTGCCACGAAATCACCACCACCATTTAAACGCCATACGTAACTTTCAGACCGTAAGCCTCATTAATGATCAATCATCAGCTACTGACAGAACACATCTGCTATGTCAAGTATCTGTCAATACTGACATAAGTACATACGGAGGTGAATTATGATTACAAAATCGTCCACTTGAGTTGTCAACCTCTCAAATACTTTCTTATGTCACCTATCAACTTTTAAAATGAACGTTTAGCGTTTTGAGATAATCGTGACTAATTGTTTTTAAGTTATCGTGACTTGTAAACGTATTTTATTAAATGTTTTAACAGCTTTCAGTGGCGGAAAGTTGTCTATCAGGGCATTCAACATTGTGAACGAAGCTGTCTTGAAGACCTTGACGCCAAACGCCAGCTTCGGAAAACTCGTCCTAAGCCCTCCTATAACTACACTTACAATACGCGTGGTTAGCTTCACTGTGCCTCATCTGACCGTGTTTTCAAAACCAAATTCACCAAATGTGAATGGAATCTTAAACCAACTAACTTAACTTTGATTTTTTTTTGCTTCTTACTATGTACGTAGAACAATTACATTTTTTTAAGGAAGAGGGAGCAAACAAGAAGCACCTGATGGAAAACGACTACCGGCGTCCATGAACGCCTGCAACTAAGGACTACCGTCCGGAAATACCGCAGAATTGCGTTTTAAAAGATGGATTTTATCGTGGGAGAGCCATGCATCGCCATAAATGGACCTAGTAATTCCACGGCCTCACAGAAAACTGGTGTTACCTGATCCTGATGATCCTGGAGGCATTGAGTTGGAGGTGTCCATGGGCGGCGGTAGTCACTTACCATCAGGTGACCCGTATGCTTGTTTACCCCCGTATACCATAAAAAAATTAGGGTTACCATTTTACGATGAAATGAAGGACTTCGTGAAATAGGCTGTGTAATAGAGGAGAATTTAAGAAGAAAATTCATGACACCGACCACAAATTTGGGACAAGAGTAAGAATAACATGATGTGAATGGTTACTTAACTCATCCAATATTAATGACGGGGCTGATGGTCTAGTGTTAGTGTGGATACTCACTGCTGAACTAGAGATACCCGGGAAAAATAATTATGTGATGAGCACGATTAATTTTTTCGTGTCTGGGTTTAATTTATCTAGGTTCTATATGTTTATCGGTAGTCTGGTTATCATAGTACAGGTTCTGATTAGTTTAAGATTACATTGTTGTAAGTGAGAGGAGAAACCTGACTGATCTGATAACTTGACTCATCTCACACACGGCAGTCCGATCGTAAATTAGACAGAGCCTGTGACATGGTAACCAGGTTGCTGATAAACATACGTACATAATTCTAAATACAAATGCAAATCGTGCTCATCACACAATTATTTGTCCTGGGTTTGAATCCAACCCACTACCTCCGGTTTATCAGTTGGGTCACTAACCACTAGACCAACAGGCCAGTCAAACTATTAACTACCATTTAATTGTAAATAACATTTGATTAAGGAAATGTAAGGTTCATTTCAATTTTCTTTGTAGTTTTTTTTAACATTAAGTTACCACAAGCATTCTGTTGACTGTTAAACGTTACTTAATCTGATAAATCTTATTCCAAGCCATTAAGAAAACTGCCTACTTCATTGCAATATAATAACACATTATTTCAACCATAACCTTTAATGTACCACCACGGTGTTGATGAAAGTAAGTGTATGGCATCAAGAAAATGTTCACGTCATGGTGTTGATTCGTCATGGTGCGATTAAGCTTTCTTTATGAGTTCGCGTGATATTTTTATTACTATCATTGGGCATCGATGGCACTAGTGAATGATAACCTTTACGAATTACAGAATACTTATGCACACGTATTGATTTCGAAACTGTAATGTT